TTACTATAGAAACCTTATAGCCTATAGGGTAATTCAAACAGATGACTGGATTTTGCCCTTCATTGACCTTATATCAGTGGTTTTCAAACTTTTATTATACATGGCACACCGACACCGTACACTTCAAAAATGTTCACGGCACACTGATCTTTTTTTAGATGAACAAAATTGTTTTGAATTAATTATAATTATGTTAACATTTAACTAGAAATGTGTGATTAATGGGCTAAAAAATATTTATTATTAACATTACATTGTATAAGTAATTAGTTATTGCATTTATTTACAAAAAATAATGTGAGAAAAGTTTGACCTTCTCCCCGCAAGCCTGTATTACTAGTTACCAGTTGTCAACCGCCCGCCAACCCGCAGTATTTGGACTTTGGAGACGTGTCTGGCCGATCGAAACTAGCCGCATCTGTTGTGTTCGCCGGACAATACGTCAGACTCCGTTTGCCAAGTATTTTGATATGCAAGTCCTACTTTTTTTGTCGACTTCGTTTACCGAGTTTGTCGTTTTAAAGTTCCTATGTTCCTGTTAGCTTTAGAACGTTCGAAGACGGCGAAATCCTATTCTGATACGGCGACAACAGCAGGTCGGCGACGGCTAACAATGGTAACTTTAAACACAAGCATGATGGTCGAACTTTGAAAATATTTTCCAGGTCTACAATACTCTGGAGACGGAAACCAATTCTGCTTGCACATTTCACTAAGCTTTTCCACACATATTTTTTTTACCACTTCTTTATTCACTTCGAAACGGACCAACGTGCAGGTTTTCGTGGGATTTCTTTTGGCACCGACAAGACAGTCTCCTCTCCACTATACACGGAAATTCATTTGACTCCATTTTTCAAGATTGACATTCGTCGAGTTCAATGTTTCTGTCAACTCCCTTTGTTAAGATTGTTATTCTGTGACTCCGAAGTTTTTCGTTGAGGTACTAGGATACCTTATTCCCGTACACCAAAACTACGATAATTTAATAATAAACATAACACGTATTCGTTTATTAATATAACTGTTAAAACTAAATAAATATAAATACATAAAATCAATATATTATTTTATTTCTTGTTTATTTAAAATTTAAAAAAAACCGAATAAATCTGAAAACAGAAAAATATTGTTTATTTTGGATGGTTAGAACTCTCAACTCAGTAGATAAGAGAACAAATATATGGGGGACGAGGTGACCGAGTGGTCTGACTCTTCCGCTGCGACGCAGCCGGTCGCGGTTCGATCCTCGGCCACCGGGCGGCATTTTTCTCCGGACAAGTCGCGGTGACCGGAGAGCAAGTGCTGCCATCCCCCACCCCCGGGGCATGGCAGAAACCTACGGGTGCCCCATTCGAAATTCTGCCAAAACAAACACACACGTGTTCCCCCTACCGTTCCAAAAACC